GTAGCACTTAGCTCTTCTGTGTCTTTGTTGAGCTTCTTTCTGGATGTTCTGTCCTTCACCGAAAGTGGTGTGTTGAAGTCTTCTACTATTGTGGAGCTGTCTCTCTCTCTTTTCAGTGCTGTTGGAGTTTGTTTTATGTATTTTGGAGCCCTGTCGTTGGGTGCGTAAATATTTATTATGGTTATGTCCTCCTGGTGTATTGACCCTTTTATCATTATATAGTGTCCTTCCTTATCCTTTGTGGTGGATTTTACTTTAAAGTCTGTTTTGTCAGAAATTAATATTGCTCTCCTGCTCTTTTTTGAGTATTGTTTGCTTGATATGTTTTTTTCCATCCTTTGAGTTTTTGTTTGTGTGTTTAAGTCTAAGGTGTGTCTCTTGGAGGCAGCATACAGACGGATCGTGTTTTTTTATCCTATCTGCCACTCTCTCTATTTTCTTTTCATCTTTTTCGTTGTTGATTTTGTGTTTGCTGAGTGTTTATACTTTTCTAGTTTTTTATTTTGACTTGTCGGATTGTTAGTTTCCTTTGTGGTTACCTTAAAATTTCCCGTTTTTCTAAATTTATACCAGTCTTTTATTTCTTTATAGCGCCTTGACTTCCTCTCCATATGAGAAATCTGTCTACATTTTTTAAGTCCCTCTTTTTGATTTTAATGTTGTCATCTTTTACCTATTGACATTTGTTTTTCTATTTTCAGTGTTTTAGCTTTGATTTACTTTTGTGACTTCCCTATCTGGGTTGATATCTGGTTGCTCTGTGGGACACATCTTTGACCCTTCACACCGTTCTTCCTCGTGGGATCCGTTCCTGTGCTGCTGACCTGTTCTGTAATTCATACAAGCCCAGATTCTGCGAGCAGAGAGCCCTACTGTGTATTCTCATGCACACCTCCATGTGCTTTCAGTACTAGGGGCTCATCGGTCAGCTCGTTCCTGATGGTGACAGCAACAGCTGCGTGGGCCCCTACTTCTTCTTCATCATCATCATCATCATCACTTCTTTTGTGCTTACTTTGCCCTTAACATTCACGGTCTCATTAAATCTCCAAAACAGCCCCATAAGGAAGGTGCTGATGCCAGCTATAAAGAGACTCAGGCCCAGCAAGGTGAACTGGTGTGGCCGAAAGGCACGGCCACCATGGTGTCTGAGGCATGTGTCCAGAGGTATCTGGCTGGCCCCGGGACCCCGCGTTTATGTAGCCACCAGAGTTTGCATCCTCTTAGACTCTTACAACAAGCCATTTGGGAAACTCGAGATGGGTTTCCCTGTTGGTTCGCCTTCCTCTCGTGACTGGAGTGGCCGCTTCCCCCGTCCAACTCTCCCGCCCCTGGCTCACAGACCAGGTTCCTGTTGCCACTATCTGTGGAGTGGTATGTATGACCCCCGTGACACCCAGCCCCGCACACTGGCAAAGAGACACTCCCCACTGTGACTTGCATTTGCGCGCATCACACTCCCTGCCTGACAAGCCTTTCCCTCCTCCGCACCACACTCATGATCAAGCCGCTCTCTCCCTCTCTTCACTGAGCGCCTGTGGGCCTTTTTATTTCTTATTTATTTATTTTTAACCACTGTTTTGACGTAGTATTTACCTCCCTACAAAGTAATGAACATGTTGAGTGCAAGGGTCTTGCTTGACTCACCTCCGCAGCCCTACACAGCACGTGGCATGTAGAAGGCCCTCAGTCGATGCCTGTTAATAAATGGTGTCCTCTTTTCACAGATTAGGAACAGGCAGGCAGTGAGTGACAAGCGAGCCCAAGGTCACCAGGCTTGTCACGAGATTTCTGTTTCAGTCCCTGTTCCTTCTGGCTAGGGTCACACAGGCCAACCCTCGGCCACAGCTTCGGACAGCACTGCTGGCTCTCCAGGGTCTTGTGGCAACAGGCTGGGAAACCTTCATTGTTGCTTCTGCTCTGGTCAGCGTCCGGTGACATCTCAGTGGCTGCAGAGAGGGAGCAGAGCCTGGACAGAATGGGTGGGGCTGGCTGTAAACCCCACAGGCCTCCTGGGAGCGGGGAGGGAGATGAAGGAAGGAGGGCACCCACCTCTGAACACTGAGGGGCAAGGTGGGTGGGCGGGCACCGTGTCTTACATGGGGACTTAACTTATGATGCAGTGTACAGCCTTTGGTCTTGCAGTGCTAGACTACAAGCAGAAAGTGTTGCTAATGGGGAAATATAAAAAAGTCTCACGTGTTAGCCAGATACTTAGCACTTGAAAAGATGGAAGTGCAGCAAGAGCTATCCTGGCTGTGGAGCAGAAGAGAAAGTAAACCTCATCTCGTCAGCAGTGTTTCCTAAGCTGCTGAGGTCGACGGAGTGGCTTCCATTCAACATGTTGTGGCCAGTCAGAAGAAGCAGGAGTGTAAATTCCGGATCTCAAGGAATTTACTTGCTTTAAGAGATGGGGAGAAAAGGGAGTGAATTACTTCTTAAGCCACAGAGGCAGAGTTAGGATGAATATCATTCCAAAATCATAATTTTTATAGGCAGTAAATTAGCTCTGACTCTTGGTTTTTGAGCTGGGGACCCCTAAAATTGTGTCATCAGGCACCAGCATGGCTTACAGAAAGAGTGCGGACGTAGAGCTCGGAGACCCAGCTCCAGACCACGGCTGTCCAACAGAACTTCTTGTGATGATGTAAATGTTTTCTCTCTGCGCTGACCCATAGGTAGCCACTAGCCACACGTGGCTTTTGAGCATTTGAAATGTGACTAGTGCAGCTGAGGCACTGAATTTTAAATTTTTTTTAATTTTGATTAGTGTACATTTAAATAGTCACATGTGGCTGCCATGTTGGGCAGCTCAGCTGTAGACCAAGATCTGTTGTGGACTTGTGTGCCCTTCGGTGAGTCAGCTCCCCACTCCGGGCTCAGAGTCCTGCTGTCACTCTGCGGTGCGCGCTCGGCGGCCTGCAGTCGGCCCCTAACAACTCCCAAGGGCAAGAATTCCTGTCTGTCTGGTTCACTGCTGTATCGCGTACTTGGAACAGCGTCTGGTCGCTGTGGGGACTCAACGAAGGGACAACTGATGCATCACAGTGGTCCATGGCCCTGCATGGAGGAGACCAAGCCAGAATCAGTCTATCCCTGGTGGCCTCCTAGTGTCACGCTGAGGGAAGGAGCAGTCTGCCCCAGCAGGGGACTTGCTAGCTCTCAGCCGCATAGAAAGAGCCCTGGGACCTGACACCCATCGCTCCGCCCTCACTGTGCTCTTGACTTGAATCTACCTCGACTTCATTAATGTACTTCTCTGCCCTCACTGTGCTCTTGACTTGAATCTATCTCGACTTCGTTAATGTACTTCTCTGTCCTGAGTTGATTCTAGTGGAAAATCACCTTTCACGTCTTGAATTTCAAGAAATTTAATTATAGGCACACATATATTTTTCAATGCCTTTGAGTAATATGAAAGTGTATTAATAGGCACGGTGTAAGTATGAGGCCTCACTAAGCCCTGTGTATATATACCGGCATCTGTTCTTTTAGAAATAATTGTAAATCGAAGTGAGATGCTCTATACTTAGTGGTATTTCCTTACTATTGGCTTATTTACAAAAGACAGCTGTGGTAGTCATGTTATTTTACTGATTTTGATATATGGGCTTCCTGGAGAACAAAAACCATTTATTGGGGTTTTTATGCGATTATCACACTTTAGGTTTTATGATTCTTTTCGTTTTGCCAGTTTCTCTGAATTTAAAATTGCTCATCTCTTAGCAGCTGGAGCCTTGGCCCCCCTGTGACAGCCAGGACGCGGGGGGCTCAGCCTAAGAGCACGTCGACTTCTCTCGTGTAGCCTGTCATAAAACTGAGCTCTTCTTTCTCAGGGAGAGATGGTCTGGAACCGTCAGGGTGTGCTGAGCGCATCCATGTACAGCGTGTGGAGAAGCCGCCAGGGGCCGCAGTGTCTAAGACGCGGCTCCGGGGCTCCTCCGTGGCCAGCTCGGCAGCCAGCGAGCCCAGGAGCCGGAGCAGCTCGCTCAACTCCACGGATAGCAGCTCCGGGCTCCCACCACCCAGCCCCCAGGCCACCTCCGAGCCCGTGCAGGGCAGCCAGCCCTCCTCGCAGAGATTCAGCGTGATTAGCTCGGAAGACTTCGACCAAGAGCTTGTTGTGAAACCTATCAAAGTGAAGAAGAGGAAGAAGAAGAGGAAACCAGGTACCGTCTCTAGCAAAGCACACACATGCTCAGCTCACTTTGGGGGCCTCTCCCTCCTCTGGGTGCTGAGTGTCTTCCCAGGCCAGAAGCAATGCTTCTCACTGAATGAGTGGGCCCCTTTTTCAGAGGGCAGTGGAGGGTTCCAGAAGTCAGTGCTCCTCCCTCAGAGAGCAGAACGGGGTTTCAGAAGTGAGTACACCCCTCCCTCAGAGCAGAGGAAGGTTCCAGAAGTTAGCATGCCCTCTCCCTCAGAGAGCAGAGGAGGGTTCCAGAAGTGTGCACACCCCTCCTTCAGAGAAGAGGAAGGTTCCAGAAGTGAGTGTGTCCCTCCCTTAGAGCAGAGGAGGGTCCAGAAGTAAGAGCCCCTTCCTCACAGAGCAGAGGAAGGTTTCAGAAGTTTGTCCCTCCCTCAGAGCAGAGGAGGGTTCTAGAAGTGAGCACGCCCCTCAGAGCAGAGGAGGGTTCCAGAAGTGAGCACGCCCCTCAGAGCAGAGGAGGGCCTCGCAAGTGAGTGCACCCCTTCGTTAAAGAAGCTTATCCACATATGCCATTTTTCAAAACAGGAGTTCTGTGAACATGGATGGAAAGTCATGGAAACAGGAAGAAAATTTACATTGCTCTCTAGGTGGAACGTTTTGCTTTTCGTGTTAGATATGCTACCAAATATGGGATTTAACATTGAATGCTTTAACTTTTCACTCCTCGGTACCTATTAAATTCACTGCCGTATTGAAGGAAAATCTCATCAGATTCCTAATTGTTTTAATTCAAAAAAAAAAAAGGCCTGAGATCCAGTTGGCCATCTCACTTTGCTGCTTTGATTTCCTTAGTTCACATTTCTCGTGTGTGGCCTCAGAGCCCATCCAAGTGTGTGACACTTGCTCACAAAACACTGCTGCATTAGGATCATTGTGTTTAAGAAGCTCTGTCTTCACCAGCTAAAAATGCCTCCTGTAGAATTCATGTTTCACTGAGCCAGTGTTTCATGGTTTACCTGGTCTCTTACTGTTCACACAGAGTTGGGCCTTATTTTAAATGTTCTTGTTTTAAATCAGAAAGTGGGAGCAGGAGCGCCTGCCACAGCTCCCTGGAGTCGACTCCGTGCTGCGAGCTTCCCGGTGGGAGCCCCCACTCCCTGACCTCGGACTTGCTCTCCATCACCTCGAGTGTCCTGGGCAGCAGTGTGGACCAGCTGAGCACAGTGTCCCCCGACCCGGAGAGCAGCCTCTGCAGGGAGCTAAACGGTGGCCTGCCGGAGAACAATGACTCCGAGACATTTAGTGTGCTGGAGGTCCCCGAGTCCACTCCTGACTTCCTGGGTGAAGAGAGTGAGGACAGAGCTGAAACCCCACAGTGTGACCCTGCGGGTGATGCGGACCCATTCCGGGGATGGCATGATGTGCCCTTGTTCCTGGGGGGCAACGTGGACCCAGAACTCGGAGAGGAGCAGGGTCCTGCAGAGGACAGGCCCAGCCAAGAGCCGACACCCTTCCAAGAACCGAACAGCTCTGCTAAGTTGCATGAGGCAGAAAATATAGAGCCTGACAGCCCCCCGAGCATGTCTTCTGAAGTCCCCCTCCCGGACCTTCTCACTGAGCCTTCCAGCCTTGGTGTGGAGCAGCTGCCGCCTGGGCCCAGTGCTGACGGGGGCTGTGCCACAGAGCCCAGGGAGGAGCAAAGCTTCCTGATGGGTGTCGGGGGCCCCAGCCTCCTCGGCCCACATCCCTGGCATGATGTTCCCAGAGATGACACAAGTCAGGCAGAAGTGGCCGATTCCAAATGTGACTGGGGGAGCAGGGGGGGAGAGTTGAATCTTCCAGTCTCTGCCTTGGCAGGCAGTGCCCGTGGGCCTCAGCTCGAGCAGCCATCACGGGACCAGGTATCCGCCTCCAGCGATGAGGAGGACATCTATGCCCACGGGCTTCCCTCGTCATCTTCTGAGGCCAGCGTGACGGAGCTTGGAGGCAGCCGCTCACTCCCAGACCTGGGCCGGCAAGGCACAGATGCCACCGGGCTGCTGAAGGCTGACCAGGTACGTTGGCCCAGATGCGGGAGGTATGCCGTGGGCCTTTCTTTTGAGCAAGGCTGGTTCTTTTCCTCCTGTTGAAGGAAATCCTGTTCTTAGTGCAAAACCTGTAGGCAGGTGTACTCGAAGTCTAGCCTTAGGAGGATTTTCATAGGGCCCGGCGGCTGAGCTCTCTGCAGACACCACGCTAAGCGCTTCACAGGTTAACTCATTGTCCTCTAAAAACAAACAATCAGAGGTCCTGTTAGCGCCTCATTTCATGGCGGAGGAAGCAGGCTCAGGAGAGTCATGGTTGCAGAGGTCCCACAGCCAGCAACGGCAGGGCTGCCCCGGACCCTCCTCCCAGCCTTACGCTGTCCTGCATCGCAGGGGAAGTGTGCCGCTTACTTGCTTTGAGATAAAAAGCCAGAAGGGTGGCCTTCCCATCTGTCATCCTGTGGTCATCCATCCGGCCTGTAGTGCCTCCCTCATGCCAGGCTCTGCGCTTGCCATGGGGTCACCACGGTGACAGTCCAGCTGCGTGGGCCCGCCTCCGGGAGGACGTGGATGCGTGCTCAGATGGTCACGGTTGAGTGGGACTCAGGTGATGGTGATGAGTGGGCATGGGCCTGGGGGTACAGGGGGCATCTCCCCAACAGTGGGGCGCTTGCTGGGAAGACAGGGCTGGGGGCCAGGGCTGGGGTTCTAGGCCAGAGATTTAGGTGAGAGGGATCCTGGCCTTTGGAGGGGCCCACATCAGAGTCATCTCCCTTCCCCGCTCAGGTTGCAGGAAAGCCAGGATATTTTTGTGAGTGTTTTTTAAGGGAGTAGAAAAAGCTCATCATGGAGAACAGGGCCAGGTCGAGAAGGGCTGGGCACCGATGCCTTTGAAGCAGTCAGCCTCCATATGTGGATATTTGTGCAAATCCATTGAGTTCCTCTTCAGTTTTAGAAAATGATTTAAGTATAAGACTTTATTTAGCTTCAGGTATTGAAAGACTCCCAGCTGCAAAATTGGAGCAGGCAGGGTGTCCTGGCCAAGCTTCCACCAGCCTTCCCACAGGACGTGCCATGTGTCTGACGGTGGGAATGGTGCTTGAAATACGGTGAAAAACAGTGCCAGTGCTGCTCCCTGCTGCAGCTACAAGGATTACACTCACAGAACGTCGGTGTGCTGCACACGGCTAAGAACACACTTCTTCGTGTAAAGGGGGTGCTCCCCTAGACAAAAACCAGGTCCTTTTCAGTGGATTGTAGACGTTAGGAAGTTTTCTGTAATATGACAGAGTGTCACCCAGGGATGTTACGGGGTCCTCAGCAGGATGACAGCTCGCTTTACAGGATGCTTCCCATAGAGGGGAGCCCAGAGATCGTAGGGTAGGCTCTGCCTGGCTTCTCAGCGATCCTCAGCTCCGCCATCCTCATCATGCACACTGCCATCTCTGCACGCTGGTCTCGCTGAACTGGGGTAGCCCCAGCCTCTGCCGCAGACCTCATCTGCTGTGTCCTTGTCATTGTCAGTTTGCAGAGAGCTGGATGGGCTACTCCGGCCCTGGCTATGGCATCCTCAGCCTGGCGGTCTCCGAGAAGTACCTTTGGTGCCTGGACTACAAAGGCGGGCTGTTCTGTAGCGCGCTGCCGGGTGCCGGCCTGCGGTGGCAGAAGTTTGAAGACGCTGTCCAGCAGGTGGCAGTCTCGCCTTCAGGTTGGTGTGCCGACAGCTCTCTGTTCAGCTCCTAGCTCCCCAGCTCTCCAAGGCAGCAGGCTCGCTCAGGGCTCCCTCCACCTCTAGCACCCACTTAGCCTCCACAGGCCAGGGAACGATGTTTATGGCCTCGTCTGACATAGTTAACAAATAGTGTGAGCAGATGTTCAGGTGGATATGTGTATTTTTTATTAATTGCAGTGGTGACATGTGAATATATTTTTGTAAACGACAGATAGTTTGAATTTTGTGGGTTTTTTTTTTTTTTTTTTTAGGGATATTAACATACCAGCTCCTTATAAAAATAAAACGTGTTTCTTTTTCTCAGTGTTAGCTTAAAGCGATTCAGTTAACGAAGACTGGCCTGTAGTATGTTGGGTGTGTTCATGTGATCTGGTTTCCTCTTCAGAAAGTATTTTTTAATGAGTTCTGTGCTTTGGGTGAATAATCTACTCCCTGACTGCAGAAAGGAAGCCCATTCATTCTTTATGCCGTCATTGGGTCAGTTCTGGTGAATTGGAGGGGAGGTTTCCTTAATGACACCCTATGAGGTTGATGGCTCAGTCTTCTCTTACTGCTGGCCACTTCTTTTCCTATTCTGAGGGGCGAGGCAGCGGGAGAGGAGGTAGGCCAGAGGTCTGTATGTGTTTAGACGCTGCAGTAATCTGCTCCATCGGTTAGGTCATGGAGTGGACAGCTGACTGAAGGTCTGCAGCGTTTCATCGAGGCCTCGACTTGACTCATCCTCTGTAACTTCCCTGCACCTCCAGATGAGTCTCCCTTCCTCCTAGATCAGGGTTGCTCTGCTTGCTTTCTCTCACCGCTTGTTTGGGGAATAGTTTCGGTAGAGACTGCCTGAGATAACAGCCCCCACTGTGAGCTGGCTGGCATGGCGTCACTGTGGGTGTTAATCCTTTTACTCTTCCTGTCTTACCCTTAGGCTCTTCTCTAGCCTTTTAGAAACTTGGGCTCTTTCTGACGATGGTAATTACTTTGTGTTTCCAAACCACCAAGTCCCTCCTTGCTCCCAGAGCAGCTCCATCTCCACTGTTGGATGATCTCAGCTGAGCCCCTCTCGGGACCCCTCAGAGCCCGTGCGCTGGCGGCAGGGTGGCTGTAGGCTCTGGCACTGGGCTTGCCCCTCCGGTTTTCTTTCAGCTCCTCAGCCAACCGAGCTGCCCTTGTGACGCCCTGACAATGCCCTTTCCACAGTCCAGGCACCAGGAGGGTCGAGGATGTCTCTGGGTGCTTGTCTCCCAGACTGAGGCTGTCAGCGGTGCTGCTCTTCCGGGTAGCAATGCCTGGTGCACCCAGCTCTGTGGGCTGCGTGGCCTGGTCTCACCGCTGATCTTTACAGTCACCATGTAAGGGAGAGTGCATCCCTGTTTTATAGATGAGAAAATGAGGCTTGGAGACGTTAAGTAGCATGATGTCTAAAGCCTCACAGCTGGTGGGCTCTTCCCACCTCAGAGTCAAGAGCCAGGGTGTGTTCTAGGAATCTCTCTCCACAGTGCCTAGAGTGAAGTTTTGCATACAGATAATTCTCAGTACTCTGTGAATAATAATAGAATTATTTTCTTGTTGCAGGAGCCCTTCTCTGGAAGATTGAACAGAAGTCCAACCGCGCTTTTGCTTGCGGAAAAGTCACTATCAAGGGGAAGCGGCACTGGTATGAAGCTCTGCCCCAGACAGTATTTGTGGCGTTGAGCGATGACACGGCCTGGATTGTCAGGACAAATGGAGATCTGTACCTGCAGACAGGTGAGTGTGGGCAGGGCTTACCTGCAGGCAGGTGGGTGGAGGCAGTCCTAGTATAATTGCTTCTTGCTGCACCCTGCTTTGTTAGTGACATGCTTAGTACAGTCTCAGCAATTTAGATCGTGAAAATCAATTTAAAACACTTTTGGAAAATGTATTTGCCACTTGGAATTTGTTAACAGTTTCCTTATTGACACAAATTCAACCCAGGACAAATTGGGGGCAAGAATTAATAAGATGGTTTAGCGAGGTGCAGAAACAACGTCGTCTTCTCCCTGTGGCTAACCTGTTGCGGATCACTAATCCTGCAGTACAACATCTTAAGGAAAGAATACAGAGAAATAAAAGTTGGAAACCAGTTATCCTGTAGTACAAAATCTAAAGGAAAGAATACAGAGAAATAACGTTAGAACCAATTATCTTGCACTACGAAATCTTAAAGAAAGAATACAGAGAAATAACATTAGAACCAGTTCTCCCCCTTTAAGTGTGATTGGCTTTTTCAGCCAGGTCAAAGCCCAGCTTCTGTGTACTGTTACATGTGGGTCAGAAAACAACAAGAAATAATTTGCTCTAAATAGCAGTTCAGCTTGTCCTGGGAAACTACCCTGAGGGGAGCCTTTAGCTGCTGGAAGAGGCACAGTGGGACTTGTTTATTAAAAATAAACTGTAATGAGAATCCGTGTTTATGTGCTGTCAGCAGAGTGGGAAGTGGTTTTCCCAAGGCAATGTGACCTATCGGGGCGGGGAGGGATCAGGGGCCAGAAGTCCTGTTTGGCTGTCAAGAGGCTGGATCAGATTTAGGTAAAGATCATTTTTCTGACCATTTAATAGTGCTGATTCCAAGGGAGTGTTTTGACTGCTGTTATAAATGGTCTGTTATAATTCATTGGGGAGAAAATATGAGTAATAAGACCTAAATGCAGGCGGAGGCTGCAGAGCGGACTTTTGGTGCTGGCTGTCTCCCCTTAGAGTGGCCTCGGAGTGCAGGTACCAGTACCTGACTGAGAGAGGCTGGAGGAGGAGGGGAAAGCCGTGGGCAGGGCGCCAGCTTGTGAATGGAGTGAACCCTGGGCCCCTCTGGGCCTCGGATTCCATCCAGGAAATCAAAGGCTTACACTGAAGGAGCAGCAGCTCCCATTTTTCAGGCTTGCATTTTAGCAGTGGAACTTTCCTCCCTGCACACACCAGGTAAAAGCTGAGGGAAGGGAGCCGCTCTGTGGAGGGTGGATGGAGGCCTCAGAACCCCCGTACTCCAGCAGCAGCAGAGGCCCCAAGGAGCCCAGCTGTCCAGAGCAGGAGGCCACTTGCGCAGCCTGGCCAGCAGCTCTGAAGGCTGCCCTCAGCCCTGGGCCCTCTTGGCTCTGCGTGGGCTGCTCTCCTGCTCTCGGCTCTTCACAGTTTCCTTTCAGAACTTCCTAAGCTACTTCGCGACAGCAGAGAATTCTGAATTGTCATTCTCTCACTTTTCAAAGAGTGCCTGAAAATGCTTCAGGTAGATGTAACATTTAAGCATAATTTAACCATTTTATGTTGACCAACCTTGAAATGCACTTATTACAAAAGAAGATAGCAAAATACTAGGAAAGAGAAATAAGCAAACAACAATAAGAATGAGATGTGAGGTCCTGACTGTTGTCCTGTTTGTCTTTGGGGTCTTCCTGTCCGTCTCCCCGGCAGGCCTCAGCGTGGACCGCCCGTGTGCCAGAGCTGTGAAGGTCGACTGCCCATACCCACTGTCCCAGATCACAGCCCGCAACAGCGTGGTATGGGCGCTGACTGAGCAGCGGGCCCTGCTGTACCGCGAGGGCGTGAGCAGCTTCTGCCCCGAGGGCGAGCAGTGGAAGTGTGACATCGTCAGGTATGGAGTGGCAGAGTCTCCGTTCACTTCCTGTTGGCTGCAGCCTGGCTTGCAGTGAGGCGTTGGTACTAGCCTTTCCTGGGAAAGCTGGTCCCTGGAGGTTTCTGTGGCAGTGGTGTTCTGAGTCATTAGAGCGGCCAGATCCAGAGACACTCGTGTTCCCTCCTTGGCCCAGGTGGCCTGGACGGGGCCGGAGCTCAGTTAGAAACTGCTGCCGCACAAGCAGGGTTAGGGTGGCCCCACGTCTCCTGATTGCCTCTCCATCCAGAGCCGCCCCTTGTTGGGTATTTTCTGCTCAGAATCCAGGATGGTTTAGGGCCAGGTATCTTTCTTTACTTTCATCCAGTCAATTAAAATTAACTGATTTGTTGGGTCACTTTTAACATTCAAGATTTTAGTTATAGAATTATCAAATCAGTTATATTAGTAGTCCTTAGAAAAACTAGGATATTCTTGATTTGAGTTTAGCAACCAAGGAAGCCTTTAGTGAGTACCTCTTGTGTGCCAGGAGTCCTTGAGTGGTGCAGACAGTGAAGGCGCTAGGCTGCTAACCAAAAGGTTGGAGGTTGAATCCACCCAGCGGTGCCTGGGAAGAAAGTCCTGGCAATCTGCTTTCGAAAAATCAGTCACTGAAAACCCCGCGGAGCACAGATCCACTGTAATGCACATGGGGTCACCATGAGTCAGAGCTGACTTGATGGCAGCTGGTTTTTGGGTTTTATTGTGTGCCAGGACTCTGCTGGAGGCACAGAGGTGACTGAGACCCAGCCCTGCCTTCACAGAGCTCCCAGTCCAGTGGGGAGACACCTACGTCATCGACGCCAGTTAGCATAACCAAAAACTCATTGCCATCGAGTCGATTCCAACTCATAGTGACCCTATAGGACAGCGTAGAACCACCCCATATGTCAGTTAGTATGGACGGTCCTAAACACGGGGAGGCGGGGGGCACATGGTGCTGAGGGCTGCTGACTGCTTGCAGGCGTTGGGAAGGCAGCATGCAGAGTGGCCTGTGGACGAGGATGCCCCCAGATGGGCAGGGTGTTCCCAGCCGAGAAGACAGCATCTGCCAAGGACAGCTGCAGAAGGGCCTGGCACATTCAGGCATTTTCGGTGGTTCGCTTGGTGAAGGAGGCGTAGAGAGATGGAGGTGCTCAGGCCTCAAGCTGCTTACCTGCCAGCTCGTTTTTTCTTAGGTCATTTTCTTAAAGAGCATTCCCTACCGTTCTGGGCCTTTGTGTAAGCCTTTCAGAAGCTACTGTGCCTTGGAACAATTTATGTTGCTCAATAATTTAACTCAAAACTCAAACCTCCTTCCTCAAAGATGAGGATAAGCTCCTTAAGGGCGGGGTGTGCTGCCCGACTTCCACACCATACCCACCCTGGATGGTGGGTGCTGACTCACACGCTCTCTTTCTCATTTCCAGTGAGAGGCAAGCGTTGGAGCCTGTCTGCATTGCCCTTGGGGACCAGCAGACACTCTGGGCCCTGGACACCCGCGGAAACCTGTGGTTCAGAACCGGCGTGGTTTCCAAGAAGCCGCAAGGAGACGACGACCATTGGTGGCAAGTAGGCATTCTGCCGGCACCGCGTGCCCGTGGCCTCACTCGTCGGGCGCACACCCCCTTCCCGGCCCCCGCTCTGCGGAGGTTAGAGTGGTCAGGTTAAATGGTAATACTCACTCTTCTGTCTGATGGGCTCAACTTGGCTGTACGTGAGAGACACCAAGGGCTTTTCATCACCGCCCTCTTTACTTACATAAAGCTGGCTTTGTTTTTTGGTGTTGTTTAGAAGTTTATCATTATATGCTAAGTAAACCCAGTAACATCCAGCTGAAGACCTAGGTAATGATGACATTTAATTCTAAACAAACGTGCTAAAAAAAGAACTAGACAATAGGTTTGAAAATTCCAACCTACAATTAAAATTCATCTCTCTCTGCTTGTTCAAAAGCCCTCTAAGTAAATGGTGTTTCAACAAAGCAGGAATTTTCCCACGTGCTTCAGAAAGGGAAACTGAGAAAGAGGAGGGTGCGAACAGGTTAACCTTCTGTGACTTGGTCCCGGCGGGCTGGCTAACCTGTGTCCTGAAGGAGCGGGGTGTGCTCTTCTCTGCTTCGCTTAGTGCTGACTGTGCCCCCCCCCGTCTCCCGCAGCGGTGGGTGCCGGCTGTGCTGGCGGGTCGCACTTCTGGAACGTGCAGTGAGCCTTAAACACTCGCCTCCATTGGCTCAGGTTGTATCGTCACTTCAGACTTGCCCTGAGGAGGCAGGTCTTCCACTCGGTACTCTTGGGTCTTTCAGATGAGAGCTCAGGAAATACAGTGTCTGCTCTTTGTTGAATGTGTATAGTCTACATATGTCTCTAACTTAATGTACTAGATAATGCTTGAAAAAGTTGTACAAACGACTTATAATACCTTCTGTTTTTAGAAGCATATGTACGTATGTGTGTGTATACATATATTTTTACTAAATTCTATTTTTAAGTAGGATAAAGAAAACAAAATGTCATTTTATCATAATATTCAGAATATTCCCTTTAGAGAAATTTAATTGAAAAGAACATCTTTAGAAGCAGAGTTATTTTAATTACCAGAAGACTGATTCCTTTATCGTGCTATGTTGCCATTTCTGTCCATCTTTCTTTTTTTTTTTTAATTTGTGTCCTGCTTACCTGCAAATCTTAGACGTTAGGAACTAATCTGTTAAAGATTTTCTCTGTGGCCTTGGCAGGGTTCCCTGCCACCCCCACCCCCCTGCCCCCAGGCTGAGCAGGAGGGATGAGCTGGGTGCTGTACAGGTGCTCAATGCTGAGGGTGTGGATACAGGCTCTCGGAAGGCAGCATAGTAAGCACAGAGCCCCCCAAGCTGCCACACAGAGCAAGGCCAGCACACACTGAGACCCCAGAACCCAGCTGGTCCCTAGAGGCAGCAGCAGCCCAGCACTCTGGATGGTCTGTGGGGACCACCCAGCCAGCCACCACATGGTTGTAGGGACCAGGGCCTTTGTGCTGCTGACATCCTCTATGGTCGGACCCCATGGGGCCGAGTTAGACAAACCAGGGAAAGCCGTGGGGAGTCAGAACTTCTGGCACCAGCATTGCCCAGCCGGGCAGAGGCTCCTCAGGTGCCCGGGACAAGGCTCGTTTGTGCTGCTGGCCTGCCCTAGTCAGCAGTCATCCTGGTTTAGATCAGAAATCATTGGATCACCCTACTTATAAGACCTTTTTCAACCCAGATTATGATTCTTAGTGTTCTATACTGTCGTCCACTGGACATACCTAAATTTAAAACCAGAATTATCCTTCCTTTCTCACTCTGATTAAAATGAAAGGTATTGTAAGAGGCAGTGGTATTTAATCACAAACTTAATGCAGTTTTGCCGTGACATCTGTGTAACAGAAAAACGTATGAAATGAAGAGTGAACATTTCCTTCCATCCCTTTAAATCAGACCCTTAGCAGTCATGACAGTTGGCAGTGTGGTGGCGTTCTGGTAGACTTGTTTTGACCCTTACACAAACGTGTGTGAATGCACGCACGTGAGTGTCTGGGTGTCTAGTCATCTGTGACTGAACCTTCAGAAGTGTGGATGAGGCGGTCGGCTCACGAGAGCCACGTATGCCAGCACTGAGAGCTGGTTTCTGCTCGTCCCCCTCTCCAGGTGAGCATCACAGACTACGTGGTGTTTGACCAGGGCAGCCTGTTCCAGACAATAATCCACGCCACGCACTCGGTGGCCACCGCGGCACAAGCGCCCGTCGAGAAGGTGGCGGACAAGCTGCGCATGGCGTTCTGGTCTCAGCAGCTCCAGTGCCAGCCCAGCCTCCTGGGTGTCAACACCGGTGGTGTCTGGCTCTCCTCGGGCAGGAACGAGCTCCACGTCGCCAAGGGCAGCCTTATAGGTGGGCGGGCTGCGCTCTTCTCCACTCTGGCTTCGTGGGCAGCCTCACCGGAGCCCAGGCGTTTACAGAGGAGCTTTCCAAGCTCAGCTGCCATGTTTAATTGAGTGCCAGTGGTAGGAATGTTTGTAATCCCGGCATGGTTTATGCTTGATGAGCAGTTTTCCTCCCTTTTTTCTTTTTTTTAAGAGGAGACATTTCAGCTTGTATTTGTCTTTTTTTAATTTATTGTGGTAAATATACAGGTAACAAAACATTTGCCATTTTAACATTCTTCACATGTGCCATTCAGTGACATCAGTCACATCCATGTTGTTCAACCATTTTTGTATTTTTAACCTTCACTCCTAAGTCTTGGAATCTCAGTGTCTGGATGGTATGTGATCTGTTACCCCTGGGAGCCCATTATGGTATAAGAAGAGCAAATGACCACATTGTTAGGTTAATAGTTTCACGTTTCACAGAGAAATTCCACCCAAACCTAAAACCTTTGAGACAAGATTCTTATTTCCTAGAGAGAAAATGGAACTGAGCCCTGGTGGTGCTGTAGTTAAAGCGCTCGACTGCTAACCGAAAGATTGCCAGTTTGAATCCACCAGCCGCTCCACAGGAGAAAGATGTAGCAGTCTGCTTCTGTAGAGATCAAAGCCTTGGAATCACTATGGGGCATTTCTACTCTGTGCTATAGGGTCACTAGGAGTCAGAATCGATTCGACGGCAACAGGCTTTTTGGTTTTGGTTGAAAATGGAGGGCTCTGGCCAGATCTGTGACAAGGTGTGAATTCACAAGGGCAGGGGTGCGTTTCTGTGAGCGTCTCCTCTACTTTCCTCCCCTCTGACCTCCCCCCACCCCGGACGGGCAAGATGATGGCTCTGCATGTGGCACCCACCGAGAAATGGAAGTGGGCTGTTGATCCCTCACCTTTATCTCCTAGTTCAAGGACACTCTAGAATTCACTGTATGATGGTGCAAACAGTTTACACTTGGCTGCTAACCGAGAGGTTGGTGGTTCGAACCCATCCAGCAGCACCGCAGAGGAAAGGCCCGGCAATCTGCTTCCATAAAAATTCCAACCAACAAAACCCTGTGGAGCAGTTCTACTCTAGTGCATGGCATTGCTATGAGTGAGAATCTACTCAATGGCAACAGATTGAGTTTTTTTAGAATTCACTCTAAGAGGTTTTACAGGCCAGCTGTCATCTAGAACTGCAGCTCTGAAGTGGATTTTTTCTTTCTTTCTTTAACACATTCCTCCTATTTATTCTTTCCAGGCACTTACTGGAATAATGTTGTTCCCCGTGGGACAGCTTCTGCAACAAAATGGGCCTTTGTACTGGCCTCCGCAGCTCCCTCAAAGGAAGGTCGGTCTGTCTTAGCTTGGTTGAGAAATACGGGGCGTGGGCTGGCCATCAGGAAAGTTAACACTGTGGTCCGACCGTGGCCTCAGTGGCAATGGAGGTTGCAGCTGCCTGGCCCCCCGAGACAGAAGATGTGGTGTCATGGGCAAGCAGTCTCTGTTAGCTGAGCGCCTGGCTGAGCCATGGGCCCCAGCAGCTGCACAGGCCTGGCCAACAGAGCCACCGGGAAGGGGTCAAGTGCGGTGAGGCTGCCTGAGTCTGAAGGGGCACAGTGTGGCTGACAGAGCTGCAGCTGCCAGCAGCACACAGGGCCGTGGCACGGCTGCCCGTGGGGAGCGTGCTTCCTTGGCACCTTCCTGTTGCCCCCCGCCCCCCGGATTCTTCTGTCACCTCCTAGCACCCTTTCCTCCTGGATCACAGCCTCTGGCCAGCTGGAGCCCCACATCTGTGCCCCATGAAGACAGACTTTCCCCTGCAGGGGATGTCTCCTCCTGACCTGCTACTTGGTCAGGGTGCACAGCCCCTCACAGAGCTGGGAGGAGCTGGTGCCTTCCTCCAGGACTGCGCCAGGCTCGGGTCTGGGCAGCCCAAGCCGTTCGTCCTGCTGGGATGCAGGGCTTAGTACAGTGAGTGCTTATTCTCCAGCTCATTCTGACCATAGTGCTTCCTCTGACTTCACATTTCAACCCCGTGGACACTCCTCCTGGAGATGAAGTGAGGTAGAAGTACCGTGTTTGGGGCCAAGGCCAGAGGCCTGCCTGCAGGCCGAGGGGCCCTGTGTGTTGCGGGCAGGTGACATGGGCAGCACCTCTAATATCCTGGGCCTTTCCTGCAGGAAGCTCCCTGTGGCTGTGCCAGAGCAGCAAGGACCTGTGCTGCGTCAGCACCCAGAGCGCCCAGTCCCGGCCCTCCACCGTGCAGCTGCCCCCTGATGCTGAGATGAGGGCCTACGCCGCCTGCCAGGACGCGCTGTGGGCGCTGGACAGCCTCGGCCAGGTGTTCATCAGGACGCTGTCCTGGAGCTGCCCCACGGGGATGCACTGGACTCGGCTGGACCTTTCCCAGCTAGGTACGGCAGTCCGCATGAGCGCCCTGGCATTCTTCCTCTGCCTGTGCCCGTCCTGTGTGAGTTCTCACGCAGCCCGCATGTAAGCTGCTTGGTTTTAGAAGGGAGTGCTTACTCCTTAGGAACGGCTGTGCCTTGTCATTTTGTTAGGTGCTTTACTTTCCCCTCCCTTACAACTTGCCTTGAGTCGGTCCCCCTCTCGGGACACTTACCTGCTGTGTCCCCAAGCTCTGCACTCTCACCTCTGCTCCCGAGTCACTGCAGTCTGACCGCGTTGTTTTTGTGAGGTGTTTGCATACGCAGGTGCAGGGCTGTGCAGGCAGGCTGCACTCTGGACCCCAGGCCCAACAGAATACACAGGGCCAGACCAGACCTGTGACCCTCGAATCGATTCCGACTCAGAATGACCCTGTAGGACAGAGTAGATCTGCCTCATAAGGCTCCCGAGGAGCAGCTGGTGGATTCGAACTGCCGACCTTTTGGTTAGCAGCTGAGCTCGTAACTCCATTTCTAAGCAATTCTAGGATATGAGTTCTGATCCTATATTTGGCTTGTTACTGATAATCAAAAATAAAACTGCCTAGCATGCAGGTACAGGGTGTCCTCCCAAGTAACTAGGCTGGCCCTTGAGACGACTCACCTCATGGGAGAGGCCTCGGCTTGGCTCCTGGGGCCTGAGGCAGGTTCCTAGAAGCAGTTCAGGGAGGTAGTTTGTGTGTCTCTCCTCTCCAGCCTGGTCTTGTCTTTACACATGTTCTGACATTGGAAACATACAAAGTGGAAGCCCATCGTCTGGTGAAATAGGCCACAGCGAGCAGCCCTTGCCACGCATGTGATCTGTACAGCCTCGCAGACGGCCTTGACTTTGTAAGGTCTGGAATGTTGCTGATCTTCTCTAAGCCGGAAGCAGAAATTTCAGTGTCAAGGCTGATTGTCGCTAAGTGTCAAGTCATAAATATGGTTTGACCTTTCTTTTTCAAGACATAGTATCCGTCTCCTCTTTGCCCCTATACAAACTCCCAAGTCAGTTGCTGCTTTAAGAGTAAATAGAATTCTTAAGTTAAATGGCTGCCTGCTGAAGCCAGTTGTAGAGACTGGTTATGGAACATTGCAGTAATTTATGACAATCCTAATTTTTGGCAGAAAATCTGCATCGCTTAACAGATGTTTAAAATGCTTTCTAACATTTCATTTCCCAGGACACATAAATATGCATTATGTCAGGCATTGGAATGTGTCTTAGTCATCTAGTGCTGCTCCAACAGAAATACCACAAGTGGATGGCTTTAACAAAGAGAAATCTATTTCCTTACAGTAAAGTAAGCTAAAAGTCCAAATTCAGGGCGTCAGCTCCAGGGGAAGGCTTTCTCTCTCTCGGCCTTCTCATCCGTGTTCCCCCAGACTAGGAGCTTCTTGGTGCAGGGACCCCGGTCCAAAGGACACACTCTGCTCCTAGCACTGCTTTCTTGATGGTAGGAGGTCCCCTAACTCTCTGCTCACTTCTGTCTTTTATATCTCAAGAGATTGCCTCAGGACACAATCCAGTCTTGTAGATCCAGTCCTGCCTTAACTAACACAACTGCCACCCATCCTCCCTCATTAACATCATAGAGGCAGGATTTACAACACATAGGAAAATCACACAGTACCAGGAATCATGGCCCAGCCAAACTGACACACACATTTTTTGGGGGGACATAATTCAAACCATGACAGAATGTTTAGCAAAGTAATACTTTGTAATTTAATTCTTCTGGTCACGGCGTTAAAATATTCGGTGCCTGCTTATGCCTTTAGATAACAAATAAGGTTACATTTGCAGTAATTTGTGTGAAAAAGTGTTTTATAAACAGTAAAATACCAAATAAATGCCATTTTTTGGTTAGAAAATAAATGTTTAAAAATAATCCTAAAGGGAAAATGTATGCACTGTTGAATAGAGTAACTAGTTTAAAACTTTTTTTTTTTAATGGGAAGGAAAAAAACAAGGAAAGGAGGGACATTGCAGTGTGTCTGGCTGGGTCATGCTGGAGCAACAGCCCAGATCTCAGGGGCTTTAACAGTAACTGTTGCCGGCCTGCTCCCGGGAGTCTGTCTGCCAGTCTTCTGGCCAGTGCCCTCCGTCCGGCAGCAGAGTCCTCAGCCAGGCTGCCTGGGCCCATGGCTCCACCACTGTGGTCACTGAGGGCCCCTGCTGGTGCTTTTAGGCTTCCGTTCACTTACACTCCATCCCACTCACCCACACAGGTCATGGGCCCCACTGACTCCAGGGAACGTGCTAGGTGGTCTCTGCCATCCCCTTGACTGTCCGCTTAGAGCAGTCTCTGAAACCTGGTACATCAGGCACCTGCCTTTGCCGAAAAGCCCTCAAGGAAAGTTTGCCACCTCTGACCTGTGTCTTCAGTTCAGGGTAAGATGACTGATACACGGAGGTAAATATCCTAGCAGCCCGTTACGGTTGTTCTGAAACAATGCCCACTCCGTGTGCTGCTGAACATGCTGCTGACTGCTGACCCGGAAGGGCCGCCTGGGGGGTGTCTGTAACCAGGCGGCTCTGTTGGCACAGTCAGCCGCCGCCTGTGCTTCCTCTCCAGGCAGGTAGGGGCTCCAACGTGAGATTTGTGTTGTTTTAATTAGCATTTGTTTCTCAGCTGTTTCTGGAATTCACTGCTGAAGGTAATTTATTTTGATTGGTACAAATCTTTTAATATGCATTGCTGGAATTCCAGGGACTCAGCTTGAATTCGCTGGTTAGGCCATTTTATAAAAGATTAAAGGAAGAAAAAATGCATTTAAGTATCAGAGAAACCATCATCTTGCAGAAGCACACAGAGGAGTAGTGCTGACTCTCACGTGGTAGTGAATTAAGAGTTTGAAGTTGATGTCAGACTGAAGACACCGAACGAGAGGTCCACAGAGCGGAGTCCCAGGCCTGCTGTGTCACCTGCATCAGTGGCAGCTGTGAGAGGTGGCCAGGGCAGCACCCACCTGCCTCTGTGCACGTGTTCAGACCTGCCCTGGGGCCAGCGTCCGTCCGCCTGCCTCCCCCAGACAGCACCCCAGCCAGTGTGAGTGCCCCATTTTCCTGCTTAGAAGTCAGAGGGAGCCATCAAAACAAAACACTTCTGCTCATCAAAAGACACCGTTAAGAAAATGAAAAGGCAAGCCACAGGCTGGGAGAAAATATTTGCAATACACCTGTCTGCCAACAGACTTGTATCCAGAATATACAAAGAGCTCTAACTCGCTAATCAGAAGACAGACTGTCCAATTTTAAAAGGGTAGAAGACTTGAGCAGACACTTCACGGAAGAAGATACACAGATGCCTTATAAGCACATGAAAAGATGCTCAGCATCATCATAGTTATCAGGGACATGCAAATGCAGACCAGGACAGGATGTCCCCGCACACCTTCTAGGATGGTGACATGAGACAGCACCAGCAGACACCGAGTGTTGGTGAGGCGTGAGCAGGCAACGCCCACACCCTGCTGCTGGGGAAACTGCCCGCTTCTCTAAATGTCAAACTCACAATTACCCAATAGCCCAACAGCCCCACTCCTATGTATTTATCCAAGAAAATCACAAAAACACCTGTTCACAAAAAGCCTTCTACGAGAATGTTCATGGCAGCTTTATTCATAATACAAACACCGGAGATGGACCAAATGTCCATCCACAGATGAATGGATAAGCTAACTGTGGTATTTTCATGCAGCGAAATAACAGATAGATGATAGATTCCTGCTGTGGGCTCCGACTCATTGCGCCCTTCTGTAGAAGAGAATGAACATTGTCCCACCCTATGCCATCTTTATGATCCACCAGCATGTTTGAGTCCATCTTTGCGGTTATTGTGCCAATCCATCCCACCTTGCTGGCCCTCTGCTTCACTAAACGTTCCCTCCTAATGATGTGTCCAAAGCAAGCAAGTCAGACAATGTTCTGTTGTGATCTAGAGGGTTTTCACTGGCTAATTTTTGGAAGTAGATTTCTAGGCCTTTCTTCCTAGTCTGTCATAGTCTGAAGCTGTGCCAAAACATATCCACCATGGGTGACCCTGCTCATATTTGAAACGCCAGTGGCATAGTTTCTGGATCACAGCAACATGCAAGCTGTCACAGTACAGCAAAATAATAGATGAGTGGTGGAGTGGAATAATACTCAGCAATAAAAAGGGGTGATGCCATAGATGAATCTCACCTACATTAGGCTGAGTGAAAGAAGCCAGACACAAGAGTGTGTACCTTGTGCTTCTGTTTATGTGAAGTTCTAGAATAGGCTAAGCTAATCTATGGTGATAATAATCAGTTTATTGGTTCCCTCAGGATAGAAGGTATTGACAGGAAGGGGCTTGGACACCTTTCTGAGATGATACAGATGTTCCGTATGATAAGATGTGGGTTACCCAAGACCCTTAAGATCTGTGCATTTCCCTGGGTGTCAAGTCTGTCGGTGGGGTCATACCCAAAGATCAGAGAGAGCTGACCTAAAGTCCAGCAGGCTTGGGCTCAAACCTTAGATCCACCCCTTTTTGCTTCCGGGCTTAGCCACCTTCTGGTGCATGGGATCTTGAGCAGATCTTTTACTGTCTGAGCCTCAACTTCATGTGTAAAAACAAAAGAAAACAAAACCAAAAGGCCAGTTGCCTTTGAATCAGTTCCAACTCATGGCGACCCCATGTGTGTAAGAGTACAGCTGTGTTCCATTTCAGTGACTGATTTTTTGGAAGCAGATGGCCAGGGCTTTCTTCTGAGGTGCCTCTGGGCGGACTTGAACCTCCAACCTTTTCATTAGCAGCTAAATGCCGTAACTGTTTGCACCACCCAGGGGCCCCTTGTGTGCAAAGTGGGATCATAATAACTATACAGCGTTTTATGATGCTAGAAATGAGGACAGGTGAACCTGCCCTACACAGCTGCCCGGTAACCATTGGCTGTCACCCTCATTGCTAGGTGTAGACTATTATCAAATGTAACTTCTTGTTAAAGCCTCTTCCCATTTCCTTTCTTCTTAAAATCAATTTAATCAACAAGGAGAAATGTAAAAATAAAAACGAAAATGTTTCAGGAGGTATCTTAGTTATCCCGTGCTGCTATAGCAGAAGTACCACAAGTGGATTGCTTTAACAAACCAATATCTATTCTGTCACAGTTTAGGAAGCTAGAAGTCCAAATTCAGGGCAGCAGCTCCAGGGGAAGGCTTTCTCTCTCTGTCGGCTCTGGGGCAAGGTCCTTGTCGTCAATCTTCCCATGGATCTAGGAGTTTCTCAGTGCAGGGACTCCAGGTCCAAAGGATGCGCTCTGCTTCCAGCTCTTCTTTCTTGGTGGTAGGAGGTACTTCCCTTTTCTCCTTGCTTCTCTCTTTCATTTTTCAAAAGAGATTGACTCAAGATACAACCAAATCCTATAGATTGTGTCCTGCCTCGTTAACGTAACTACCTCTAGTCCTGCCTCATTAACATCATAGAGGTTAGGATTTACAACACATCGGATTATTACAGCAGATCACAAAATGGAAGACAACCACACAATATTGAGAATTGTAGCATAGCCAAGTTGGCACACTTTTTTGGGATACATAATTCAAACCATAACAGGAGGCTTAGATAGTTCATCTTAATTCTAATTAGAATCAAGATTACTTGTTTATATGTGTTCCTTCTCCCCAGACAGAGAATTTGCTGCCAATAGTTGTGTGTCTGATAGAGCTAGAGATCGGACCCACACTGGGATGTTCGTCCTAGTGCTTGATGGTTCAGGTCCTGTGCTGACGGCATCTGGACCACATGCCCTGGCCTGAGAGGGCCGTCATGTGGCCCCTGGAAGGTGGCAGGACACTGGAGGCCTTCATGAGTATCCTGTGTTCGAGTCTTCCCAAGCCCAGCAAAGTCTGCACATCTGGTGTGAATGGGCTAGAACAGATTGGATGAGTTGGCATCAGAGTTGTAAAAAGGGTGCCAGCTGTAAAAATGGCACAGTGTCATCAGAGGTCCTCTAATGTCACGAGGAGGGAGAGAAAATCACCATCATCAGCATCAGCCCAATTGATTCCTCTGAGGTGGAGGTCAGACGTACCTCCCCTCTCCAATCTTTTTACCAATTCTGACACCAGCCATCCTTCCTACAGCACACTCTACTTCTCTGCTGGGTTCAGTAATTTGTTGCAGTGGCCACGCAGAACTCACAGACCATACTCACAGTTACGGGGTTTATTAGGAAGTAACAGGTTACAATTCAGCATCAGGAACAACTCAGGATACAGTTCTTCAGTCAGGACAGCTTCTCAGCTGTGCCCACAGGAAGACCTCTAGGCCCATGGTTCTGCTGCTGCCATTTCTCTGCCACCACTTCTCGCCGTCTCACACTGTCTTTGGTGTTAACAGCTCTGTCCTTGTCTCCTGGGTCTAGGAGGTTCTCAGCACAGGGACCCCCAGGTCCAAAGGACGCACTCCACACCTGACTCTGCTTTCTTGGTGGTAGTGAGGTTCCCCTCTGCTCTGGGATGGCTCATTTTAAGCCTAGCAGGATGGCAAAACTGACCAATACCCTCATTAGGGTTCCATACATCTTATTTGCATGGTCCCACCCCCACAGATGCACTTGCATTATTAGCATTGATGTCCAGTCCCCTTGGTAGGCCATAAACACCTTATTTACATAGTCCCACCCAACCATTTTGTAGGAGTCACAAGACCATGGCAAGAAAAGCCATATAAAAGTGATCCATCACACTGCAAACTTTCACCCCAAAGTGCTATCTCCTCATTCTCTTTAAAGTATAGAATCAAAGTTCACGGAAGTGATTACAATATCTGTACTTTTCCTCTGTCTACAGGAGCTATAAAGCTGACAAGCTTGGCATGTGGAAATCAGCACATCTGGGCCTGTGATTCCAGGGGTGGTGTTTACTTTCGCGTCGGAACCCAGCCTCTCAACCCCAGTCTGATGCTTCCTGCCTGGATAATGATTGAGCCACCTGTCCAGGTAAAGAAAAGTTCACTGATAGGGACTTGCTCTTCAGTAAGGCTGAAGTTGTTAGGGTGCTGTTGTTGGGAAACAGGGACGACCGCCTTTTACGTGGGCTTCCCAGCAAAGAGGGGGAGGCACGTGCCCAGGGCAAGGCCTGCTCACAGTCAACACACTCTCATTCATCAGCATGCCAGAATTGGAATCTGAGGTCTGTGAAGTATAGAGCCAAACAGATCTTCAAAGATTTTCTGAGCCAACACTCAAATAAAAACACTTAGTTTCTGTTGTTTTACAAAATGAACGTTATTTAAAATAGGAAAAACAGTAACCAAAAGTATAAAGGAGAAAGTGAGGGTCATGTAAAATCTTGTAATCTGGAGAGAACCTATTATCGTCATTTTGTGAGTGCCTTCCCTGGTTCGTCAGAGACATTCTACTTCCTGCCCACCCTGACCCCCAGCCCTGGCCATAGGGGTTTTTTCTCTCGACTGTTCCACCACTCAGATCAGAAGACTGATTTTAGTGCACTCTGGTGGTGCAGTGGTTAAGAGCTCAGCTGCTAACCAAAAGGTCGGCAGTTAGAATCCACGAGCCACTCCTTGGAAACCCTATGGAGCAGTTCTACTCTGTCCTATAGGGTTACTATGAGTCAGAATTGACTTGATGGAAATGGGTGTGTTAGTCACTCTTAAAGACCTACTAGGCTAGGCTGCTGTCATGGTTTGAATTATGTCCCCCAAAAAATGTGTGTATCAGTTTGGCTAGGCCATGATTCCTGGTACTGTGTGATTATTTCCTGTATGTTGTAAACCTGCCTCTATAATGTTAAAGAGGGAGGATGAGTAGCAGTTGTGTTAGTAAGGCAGGACCTGATCTACAAGACTGGATTGTGCCCTGAGGCAATCTCTTGAGATATAAAAGCCAGAAGTGAGCAGTGAGACAGGGGGACCTCCTACCATCAAGAAAGCAGTGCCAGGAGCAGAGAGTGTCCTTTGGATAGGGGTCCGTGTGCTGAGAAGCTCCTAGTCCAGGGGAACACTGATGGAAAGGCCAACAGAGAGAGAGAGACTTCCCCTGGAGCTGACACCCTGAATTTGGACTTTTAGCCTATTTTGACTGTGAGGAAATAAACTTCTCTTTGTTAAAGCCATCCACTTGTGGTATTTCTGTTACAGCAGCACTAGATGACTAAGACAGCTGCCATGCTAAGCATATTTCTATTTAAAATGTGTAATTAGGAGGCTGTATCTTAATGAGTTATTTGCTCAAGCTCCTGCAAATCCTTGTTCTGTGATGTTGGTGGAGAATATATGAAGTTGCCATGTTTGGAGGCAGCAGTAGAGCAGGAATGGTTAGTCCTTGAACAGTGAATCCTTACATGGTATCTTAGTTATCTAGTGCTGTTATAACAGAAATACCACAAGTGGATGGCTTTAACAAACAGAAATTTATTCTCACAGTTTAGGAGGTGAGAAGTCTGAATTCAGGGTGCCGTCTCCAGGGGAAGGCTTTTGCTCTCTGTCGGCTCTGAGGGAAGGTCCTTGTCATCAGTCTTCCCCTGGGTCTATGAGCTTCTCAGCGCTGGGACGCCATATCCAAAGGATGCGCTCCACTCCCAGCACTTCTTTCTTGGTGGTTATGAGGTCCCTCTCCTCTCTGCTCAATTCTCTCTTTTATATCTCAAGATACAAAAGAGATTGACTCAAGATACAAACTAATCCTGTAGATTGAGTCCTGCCTCATTAACATCAAAGAGGTTAGGATTTACAACACATAGGATAATCACAGCAGATCACAGAACGGTGGACAGCCACACAATGCTAGGAATCACGGCCTAGCCAAGTTGATACGTTTTGGGGGGACACAATTCAGTCTGTAACACATGGAAACAGGAAAGTCAAGGATTTGGGTAAATGCCTGTGTTCATGACTTCTATGTTTTGGGCATCACAAGCCATCAGATGGAACTGGGGCAACAGGTACAGGGCTGATCATGAGGGACACCTGGTCCTGCCCATCAGCGATGGGGTATGTGTTGGGAGACCCCGGAATTGAAGTCAGGAGTCTGGTCAGAATTCTGTTTGGACAACTTATTAAAGGTCTTGACCACAGGAGGACCACCACGTCCTCACTGGCGGGTCTTCCTCCTTTGCAAGGCTATCAGGAGAGTAATTAGAATGATACCTATGAGGGTACCACGTGGATTATAAAGTACCCTGCAAACATGAGGTTATACCTAATGAACTACAATGCTTCATTTCTCGTCTGCACACAGTGGCGTACCAACAGTGGCATAGTGGGAGCAGGCCAGCCAGCAGGGAGGAACACTCTTATCACTGACATTGTTTACATTGCTGGTGCACAGTGATGATGAAAAGCAAGCCAACTTGGAGTGAGTTTCAGTATGATTTTTAAATTCTCTTCAGACAAGGCACTTTCTTGTTGCCTATATCCAAGTATACTCCTTTAGTACATCACTGTCTACATATTCCTTTTTTTTTAATAACAGCTTTATATTATTTTTTAAGAGACATGCAATTCATATACCACAGAATTCACCCTTCTGAATTACACCATTCGGTGCTTTTTAGTATATTCACAGCATTGTGCAACAATCACTACTATCTAATTCTAGAACATTTCTATCACCCTAAAAGGAAACCCTATACCCGTTAACAATCACAGTCACTCCCGCATCCCTGCCATTCCCCCCAGTGCTTACCAGTGACTAATCTGCTTTTGTCTCTATGGATTTGCCTGTACTGGACATTTCATATAAATTGAATCATGTGTGGCTTTTTGTGTCTAGCTTCTTTTACTTAGCATAGTGTTTTCAGAGTTCATCCACGTTGTAACAAGTATCAGAATCCTTTTTATGGCTGAATAATATTCCATCGTATGGATATACCACATTTGCTTATCCATTCATTCATTGATGGATATTTGGATTGTTTCTGTTTTTTCACTATTATAAATAATGCTGCTATGAGCATTCGTGTGTAAGTTTTTATGTGTACATATGTTCTCATTTCTCTTGGATATATACTTATGAGTAGAATTGCTGGATCATATGGCAACTCTGTGTTTAACTTTTTGAGGAACTGCCAAATTGTTTTCTACACCACACCATTTTATATTCCCACCATCAGTGTATGAGAGTTCAGTTTCTCCACATCCTTGCCAGTGCTTGTTATTGTCCAATTTTTTTTATCATAGCCATCCTACTGAGTATGATCTGGCATCTCATTGTGGTTTCAATTTGCATTTCCCTGATGATTAATGATGTTGAGCATCTTTTCATGTGCTTGTTGGCCATTTGTATATCTTCTTTGGAGAAGGCTATTCAAATCCTTTACCCATTTTTTAATTTAAATTATAGTGAGAATACCCGTACCCGTTGCTGTCAAGTCGATTCCGACTCATAGTGATCCTACATGACAGAATAGAACTGTCCCATAGGGCTTTCAGGGAGCGGCCGGCGGATTTGAACTGTCGACCTTTTGGTTAGTAGCCGAGCTCTTAACCACTATGCCACCAGGGCTCCGTGGTGAGAATATGCACACCAAAACATTTACCAATTAAACATTTTCTACATGTAAAATTCAGTGACATTGATTACATTCTTCAGACTGTTCTTTGCCCATTTTTTAATTGCGTTGTCTTTACTGTTGAGTTGTAAGAGCTCTTTATATGTTCTCGATGTTGTTGTTGTTAGTTGCTGTCAAGTTGGCTCTGACTCATGGTGCCCTTACGTATAACAGAACAAAATGTTGCCCAGTCCCGAGCCATCTTCATGATCACTGGTATATTTGAACCCATTATTGTGGCTGTTTTGTCAGTCTGTCTCATTGAGGGTTTCCCTCATTTTCACTGACCCTCTACTAAACATAATGTCCTTTTCTAGTAAATATTCGGGATACTAGACTCCTATCAGATATATGATTTATAAATATTTTCTCCCACTTTGTTGATCATCTTTTCAATTTCTTGATTGTGTCCTTTAATGCACAAAGATTTAAATTTTGATTAAGTCAAATTTATCTGTTTTTTTCTTTTGTTACTTATGCGTTTCTTGTCAAGTTTAAGAAATCATTGCTTAATCCAAGATCACAAAGATTTACATCTATATTTTCTTCTAGGAGTCTCATAGTTGAATCTCTTACAGTTTAGGTTTTAGATCCATTTTGAGTTAATTTTTATATATCATGTGAGGTAGGGGTCTAAATTCATTCTTTTGCATGTGGATATCCACTTGCTGCAGCACCATTTGTTGAAAGACTACTCTTCAGGGGACACAGTCATGAAGGCTTCTTAGCCATAACCATATACCTCCAGGGACTTGAGAGCTAGGGACCATAGTCTCAGGGGACATCTCGGTCAGTTGACATATCATAATCCATGTAGACAATGGTCTACATCCTACCTTGGTAAGTGACTGGGGTCTTAAAAGCTCACGAGTGGCCATCTAAGATACAACAATTGGTCTCTTCCTGTCTGGAGCAAAGAAGAGTGAAGAAAACCAAAGACTCAAGGAAACAATTAGTCCAAAGGACTAATGGACCACATGAACCATGGCCTCCACTAGCCTGAGACCAGAAGAGCTAAATGGTGCCCAGCTACCACTGCCGACCACTCTTACCGGGACTGTAATAGTAGGTCATGGACAGAGTGGGAGAGAAAGTAGAACAAAATTCAAACTCATAAATAAGACCAGGCTTACTGGTCTTACAGAGACTGGTAGAACCCCTGAGACTATAGCCCTTAGACACCCTTCAAACTTGGAACTGAAATCACTCCTGGCGATCACATTATAGCCATACAATAGACAGGCCTATAAAATCAGCAGTAACACCAGTGAGGAATGTACACCTCGGAACAATCAACTATACAGGACCTAAAGGGCAGCTTTTGCCCAAAAGCAAAGTTCAGAAGGACAGTAGGAGCAGGAAAGCTGGGTGAATGGACATGGGGAACCCAGGGAGGAAGTGGGGAGAGTACTGACACAGTCAGGGTTTT